CTAGGTATTCCTGTTTGGAAAGATTTTGAAAGTGCTTTGGAGCCTCTAATATCTTTTCTTATAATAATTTAATGAAATTTCTTAGAGGCTACTTCATTTACTAAAATCAGTCTTATTTTAATAGATACTAACCCCACCCATCCGCCCTCTCTTTTCTTAGAGGGTATGTCATTTACCCAAATCAGTCTTAGATTAGCAAGTACTAACTCCGGTCAACCGCACTCTATTGTCTTAGAGGGATCTCATTTGCCAAAATCAGTCTTATCCTAGCAGGTACTAGCCCCGCCCTCCCACCCTCTCTTTTCTTAGAAAGTAAGTCATTTGCCAAAATCACTCTTATCCTAGCTAAGATAAAAATGATTTTGGCAAATGTCATATCCTTTAAGAAAAGAGAGGGTGGGTGGGCGGGGCAGTAGCTGCTAAGATAAGACTGATTTTGGCTAATGAGATACCTTCTAAGAAAATAGAGGGCGGGTGGGCGGGATTAGTACTTGTTCAAATAAGATCGATTTTGACAAATGACATACCCTATAAGAAAAGGGAGGGAGGGAGGGTGGGTGAGCTGGTTAGCAGCTGCTGCAGTTAATTTTAAGTCCCCTGATGTTTTATTTTCGGATAAATTTAAAGGAATCTGATGTTGCTGGATCAACTTGAAAAAATTTTTTGAGCTTTTAGTGATTAATTTTTGTTACGAATTTGAAAGTCTTGAGTGCCTCAGTGTTTTTTTTTTAATTCTGAACACTCTTGGGTACTCATGGTGTATTATTTTGGGAACTCATGGATATTTTTTTGTATATCATTTAAAACAATTTTGGGGGCCTTTGGTGTTCTATTTTTGGACAATTCTGACCTGACCTGTTTTTGAGTCAATTTTGGGACCCTGTCTTTTTTTTTTAAATGGGGTTCTAGGTATTCCTGTTTGGAAAGAATTTGAAAATGCTTTGGAGCCTCTAGTGTCTTTTCTTATAATAATTTAATTAAATTTCTTAGAGGCTACTAACCCCTCCCACCCGCCCTCTCTTTTCTTAGAGGGTATCTCATTTGCCAAAATCACTCTTATCTTAGCAGGTACTAGCCCCGCCCCCCCACCCTCTCTTTTCTTAGAAGATATGTCATTGGCCAAAATCAGTTTTTCTTAACAAGATCTGATGACTAACTTTTACAAAAAATGATCAAAATTTGGAAACATTACGAGCTTACTTACATGCACAGCCGGGAATTTTGAACATCTTCTCTAGTGTTTAGTTGGTTATGCTTTAATGGATTTTTCTTTTGTTGGTTTTGTTTTTGTTTATCTTTATATATAAAAGGCAATGTCCCGACTGACATATCAACGCCCAGCCCAAACCGCTAATGCTAGAAAGTTGAAATTTGGAGAGAATGTTCATTTTATGCTGGAGGCATCGTCTAAGAAGGGATTTTTCGAAATTCATCTCCTAAGGGGGTGAAAAAGGGTGATAAAATTTGTATAGGACCAATATTTTCTACTGTAAATTTACATCGTTACATGAAACCCGGTACATTTTAATTCTCTTCAATACAAATAAGGAAATACGTATTTAAGGATTTTCGAAGATTCGACCCCTAAGGGGGTGAAAAGTGGTGTCTAAGTTTGGGCGGCTGAGTTTGTATCGGAACAATATTTCTACTATAAATTGAAATTTTTTCGTGAAACTTGGTATTAATGTTCTTCAACACAAATAATGAAACCCGTCTTTAAGCATTTTCTAAAATTCAACCCCTAAGAGGGCGAAATGTGGAGGGTAAATTTGTATGGGAAAGTATTTCTATTGTATATTTAAATTTTTACGTGAAACTTGGTATTAATGCTCTTCGACACAAATGATACAACACGTATTTAAACATTTTCCGAGATTCAACCCCTAAGGGGGTAAAAAAGGGTGTGGCTAATTTTGTATGAGAAAAATATTTTTATCGTGATGTTTACTTAACACTTGGTATTAATACTTTTCAGCACAAATACTAGAACATGGATTTAAGCATTTTTCCAGATTCTACCCCTAAGGGGGTGAAATATGGTGACTAGATTTGTGTGGGAATATTTCTATGGTAAATTTAAATTTTACGTGAAACTTGGTATTAATTGTCTCCAACACAAATAATGAAACACGTATTTAAGCATTTTCCGAGATTCAACCCCTAAGGGAGTGAAAAGTACTGGCTAACTTTGTGTGAAAAAAATATTTCTTTTGTAAATTTAAATTTTCACGTGAAACTTGGTATTAGTGGTATTAAACACAAATAATGAAACACGTATTTAAGCATTTTTGGAGATTCGACCCCAAAGGGGGTAAAAAGTGGTGGCTAAGTTAGTATGCGAAAAATATTTCTATTGTAAATTTTGAGGTGATGTTTATTTAAAACTTGGTATTAATGCTCTTCAATACAAATAACGAAACACATATTTAAGCATTTTCGGAGATTCCACCCCAAACGGGGTGAAAAGTGGTGTCTAAGTTTGGGCGGCTAAGTTTGTATCGGAACAATATTTCTACTATAGATTGAAATTTTTACGTGAAACTTGGCGTTAATGCTCTTCAACACAAATGATGAAACCCGTCTTTAAGCATTTTCTAAAATTCAACCCCTAAGGGGGTGAAATCTGGAGGCTAAATTTATATGAGAAAATATTTCTATTGTATATTTACATTTTTATGTGAAATTTGGGACTATTGCTCTTCAACACAAGTAATGAAACACGTATTTGAAGATTTTCCGAGATTCAACCCCTAAGGGGGTGAAAAATGGTGGCTAACTTTATATCGGAAAATTATTTCTATTGTAAATTTTTGACATGGAATTTAGTATTAATGCATAGTGAAACATGCAATTAAGCATTTGCCGAGATTCAACCCCTAAGGGGGTGAAAAATGGTGGCTAACTTTATATCGGAAAATTATTTCTGTTGTAAATTTTTGACATGGAATTTAGTATTAATGCATAGTGAAACACGCAATTAAGCATTTGCCGAGATTCAACCCCTAAGAGGGTGAAAAGTACTGGTTAAGTTTGTATGGGAAAAGTACTTCTATTGTAAATTTAAATTTTTGCGTGAAACTTGATATTAAATTAATGCTCTTCAATACGCAGAATGAAACCCGCATTTAAGGATTTTCCAAGATTCAACCCCTAAGGGAGTAAAATGTGGAGGCTAAATTTGTATGGGAAAATATTTCTATTGCATATTTAAATGTTTACGTGAAACTTTATATTAGGGCTCTTCGACACAAAATAATAATGAAACACGTATTACATTTTCCGAGATTCAACCCCTAATGGGGTAAAAAAGGGTGTGGCTAAGTATGTATGGGAAAAATATTTTTATCGTGATGTTTACTTAAAATTTGGTATTAATGCTCTTCAGCACAAATAATAAAACACGTATTTAAGCATTTTTCCAGATTCAACTCCTAAGGGGGTGAAATATGGTGGCTTGATTTGTGTGGGAATATTTCTATTGTAAATTTAAATTTTTACATGAAACTTGACACAAATAATGAGACATGTATTTAAGCATTTTTCGAGATTTAACTCCTAAGGGGGTGAAAAGTACTGGCTAACTTTGTGTGGGAAACATATTTCTATTGTAAAATTAAATTTTCACGTGAAACTTGGTATTAGCATTTTCCGAGATTCAACCTCTAAGGGGGTGAAAAGTGATGGCGAAGTTTGTATGGGAAAAATATTTCTCCTTTAAATTTTGACGGGGAACTTGGCAGGGTAGTAATACTCTTCAACACAAATAATGAAACACGTATTTCAGATTGTTTCGAGATTCCACCCTTAAGAACATGAAAGGGGGTGACAAAGTTTTTATGAGCAAACATTTTTTATGTCGATTTTTACTGGAAATTATATTAATGTCCTTCAACATATTTTTTACTTGAAGGTTGATAATAATGCTCTTCAACACACAACAAATCGTCTACACGAGCGAAGCCGCGGACGAAAAGCTAGTAATTTATAAATGACTTATGACATGTTTTTTTTTTGGTTTATTTATTAATGAAAAATAATAGTTTGTTTTATTAACAATAATGCACAACGATTAATGACTACTGGTTGTTATGGTTATTGTCCTAAAAAAATAAAAGGTGGATTTCAGTCACCATCGCTACTATAAGAAATCAGAAAGTAAGCCGGAGGTATTCACGTACTAGGTACGTGCGGTGTTGCCAATTTTACTTTTATAAAATTATGTTTTTTTGTAATCTACAAGATATTATTTTTCTGGAACGCCACTGACGCCATACCTATAGGTATGAGCCACATTTTCAGTATACTAAATTAAGGTCCTCTTTTAAGATAAAAACCAAGGCGTTTACAGAATTTCAACATCACTATTCTGTGTTCTTTCTCAAGATAAAGGCATCTACGCTGAGTTTTATTGGGGACATTCCGTATATTAGTCCAAATCTCGGACTTTTCCTAACCATTGAACACTTTTCTGTCCATTGATACGCTTACGTATTATAAAAGTTTAAGCAATTTAAATTATTACCTAGCCAAGATCAATATACGAGGGTACTTATTACTTATTACACCTCCTTCGTAAACCTACCTCTACTAAACACAATTACACTGATGCTTAAAGGTTCACCTACATTCATCACTGGTTAACTAAATAATTCTATCAAATAAGGAGCAGACGATATAAAATGCAAGGTAATAAAACTAACAGTAATCAATGCAATTAGAGTACAATTGCAACGCAGACAAGTTTGTGCTAATTCTGTTAAATCAGACTACAGCAAATCGTGATGCAATTAGAAAGAACTTTATCTCATCACCCCTAATTAATTGCCTTAACTAAATTACAGGGGTTCGAATTTCAGCAGATAACAGTTTGGATATAGTACTTTAACGAAAAAATCTAAAGGGGCGATTTAATTAAAATCCCGAAAGTGAAAGGATGTAAATTGGCGTGGTAGTGCGTTTTGCAAAAAAAGACCCTCCCTGTAATATTTTTTCTTCTGCAGGTCATGAGACGCACACGGCGCCACAAGTTTCTCCAAATTTCTGTGTTCTTTCTGCTGTATTCAATCATTAACGTCTTTTCTGAAAATTCCTCTCAGACCCCTGACAAGCCAGTAGAGAAAGAAGTGGGCAGTATATTCTCGACGAAACAACCGACAGCTACAGAAAAATCTACAACGACGACACCGGAAAGCAGGCATGAAACAACACCAAAATCTAAAAAAATACCAGACAAGAAGAACAACACGAATGGAATGCCGCCATGCACCCCGCCAGCGATACAACAGGTAAGTAAATGACGTCCACACCCCATTTTGAACACTAGTCTTTAGTTGAAAAGATCCCGAAGATATGGAGACTGGTTAGAGCACGCTCAAAAACACTACACCCAAAACAAAACAAACGACACAAAAGTATTGCCAGTTAGCAAACCAACTGCAGCAACAATTAAAACCACAACACAAAAATCAACAAAAACCAACAAAACACAACAACTGTCAAATGCGAAAGCGGTAACTGTAGTAACGCCTACAGCGATAAATGAAGCAAATGAAACGAAAAATGAAACGGAGTGCATTCCCCCGGCTCTGATGCAGGTAAGCCAACCTTGTAAAAAATTACCCAACTCCAAACGATCGTTTTGTGCATTTGCGTCACACATCGTTTTGTTTGTTCTCTGTTTCGAGCATAAAGACAAACACAGCAGATGCCTTTTGATCTTCGACGTAATTGATGGAAGTCTCTTCAAAGGGATGCGATTATCTAAAACTTCCCTTTTTGATGAAGTTAATTGTTCGTTGGGAATCAATTTTTCTGTTTCTCGTCCATAAATTCACATTCGTTTCGTTCCGAAAGTCTCGAGGGATCCACGTAATTAAATTTCGAAATGTCGTTTACTGGAACTTTGAGAGGACCGAGTTTACACTGATTTAACGGATTTTTCCTGATGATGCAGATTAGGCAAAGGACGTGTGGCGTAAGCGCTGACAGATGACAAATGATTCTCGGGGATAAAATTGGAAAAATAAAACACACGTTTGCTGGAATTTATTTGAATCAAATGGTTGTGTGTTTTGTGAAATCCTGAGAACCTCCGGATCGATTCTTGGGAGAATTTCTAATTGTGTTATAAGTTGTCAAGTGTTCAATCGAGGTATCGACCATTCCAAACATTACAAAGACCCTCCAAGTCAAATTAGATTATATAACTCACGGTTCAGTTTTCTTTTTCTAATTTCGGCATCGGAAACACCATTAAATCAGCAATGACCTCGCATTCGCATTAACAATCGATACAAAACGTTGAAATCAGTTATTTACTGGAGCGATTTTGGCCGATTTACGTAAGGAAGGGAATGGAGTGTCTCTCGGGACACCTCCCACTGCTACGCCTTCGAAACACTGTAAATACTACAGTTCTAATCTTAGTATAAATAAGGTATCTTACCTAACGGACTTTTTGGTAACTTGGAAAAATTGGAACGAACCATTTTAAAATTGTTTGATTAATTGCTAGCAAAATTCTTCCGACGCTTTTATCGACACAAAACTAATCAAATTTTGTTGTTTCTGTTTAATACTTCTTGTGAAAGCAGACAGTTAATGGTTTTTGTTGTCTGTCGATATATCCGTCCCTTTCAAGCCTCGAAAACTGTAGGGAACGGAAACAAATGTTCGTTAACATAAAACTATACTCCTCACTTTAGGGTTGAGCGGCTTATTTTAAAATTTCGGGACGAGACTTTTTGATAAAAAAAAATATTTTTTCTTCACTATGTACACACGACTTAAACATTTGCATTAAAATTATAGTGTTTTTCTCCTCCCTTTGTATTGAACTGTGGAGCTTTCGTATCCACTGCTTTGGGTGTGTGCAGGAATATCTATATTATTTTGAGATGACGTCGTCACATTGTTGGTGGGGATGATCAGACAAATTTTCTTTAGCGTTCTACAATCTGCTCGGTATCCTAACAAACATGCTAAATTTTTTATTACAATATTTCCTAACTTACGCTTGAAAAGTAAAACGAAATATGTACGTTTGCACTTTAGTTTTCACTTCCCGAGCGTAAGCTAAGGAGTATTGTTATCGAGTCGATCCGTCGACTCCCTCTCTTGTATTTTCTCGACTTTCATGAACCCTAAAGTCCCAAGAAATAGGTCTCCCGTTTCCGTTCGTCTGTCTATCTGTCTGTCTCGACTTTTATTAGACAGGTAATCTCCGAAACTACTTGTATATGAATCCGTGTTGAGTTTTCGCCCTAGACAACAAAATTTTTGGAAAAAATATTCAAAATTGTATAATAACAGTTTGCAATTTAACTTTGAAACAGTAAAACCGAATGCTCTGAAATCTTGTTATCATATCGTATAATCATGGTAAATCATTAATGAAAATATATTCGTTTCTCCTCGAAAAAAATTATCTTAAAATTTGCCGAATAAATCCTTTCTGAAAAATACAAATATTACGATTCTGTACTTATAGTTTATCAATGCAGTTATAGTTTTTAAAATTCCTTATACAAGGTGACTGAAAAAATATTGAATGAGGCGATTTATTGTATTGATTAAATACATACAAGAACATTTTTTCCCGAAAATTTGGGAATACAGTACTGTTACTATTACGTGTCCTTGCAAAAATGTTGATGACGTCATTACAGAATTTTGTAATAGAAAAACCCACTTGAAACAAACTCACTTCTTTATAAGGGCTTTCATAATTCGCCCAATCAAATCTTATAATTTTTTGATATCACAATTTTTCGTTTTTTGTTTTCCATGTTTCGGTTTCATAATTTTTCGTTTATGCAACTTTATTTTTTCAATTTTTCAATTTCTCGACTTCCAATTTTTTTCAATTTTTTGTTTCTTCAAGTTTTCAATTTGCAATTTTTCACTTTTGTAATTTTTCTATATGTATTACAATTTTAATTTTTCGATTTTGCGTGTCTTCAATTTTTCAAGTTCTTGATTTTTGTTTTTCATTTTCTGGATTTTTTAGTTGTCATTTTCTCGATTTTATATCACAGTTTTGCGTTTTTTCATTTACTTTATTTTTTCAATGTTTTTTACAATTTTTACTTCCCAAGCGTAAGCCAAGGAAGTATTGTAATCGAGTCCGTCGGCCGACTTTCTACTTTTACGTTTTCTCGACTTTTCATGACCACTAGAGTACGAAGAAATAGGTCTCCGGTTTCCGTCCGTCTGTCTGTCTGCCGTCCCGGATTTTTATTAGACAGATAATCTCCGAAAGTACTGGGCCGATTGTTGTCAAATTTTGCATTTATATTAGGAATATCATGTAGATAGTACAACGCAAACTGAATGCTTTAAAATCTTGCAAATGTTTTAAAGTTATGAAGAATATAATAAATTTTTAGTCAAAATATATTTGCTTCTCCCCTCCAAAAAATTGATGACGTCAGCTCAAAATTTTGCCGTATAAATCCAAACTAAAGTGTGGAAAATATGATGAGTTTTTACTTGTGATTAATCATTCTATTAATATTTTTTGGATTTGGGTGACAAAAAAATTATTGAATGTGCGAATTTATTTTACTGAATAAATCAAGAATTTCAAAACCGAATACTTCGAAATTTTGCAGTAAGCATGGTAAATTGTTAATCAAAATATATCTGTATATTCCCCCCAAAAAATTGATAATATTTTATCGAATAAAATTTATTAAATCAGGAACGACTCACTCTATTTTCCCAGAAAATTTTAGGAATACAATACTGTTGTTTTTAGTATTGCACTGCGCCAATCTAAGTTGATATACGTATCCTTGCAAAAATGTTGATGACGTCATCACAAAATTGTGTAAAGGAAAACTCAACTCGAAAATGCTGGATATGTTTCATTGTACTTCAAGAGCGAGGGAAGTTCTGTCGAAACAACTTTGGATCATTTTTTTAATTTTTCATTTATTCAGTTCTTCAAATTTTCAATTTTTGATTTTCCAATTTTGCAATTTTTGGATTTCTCAATTATCCGAGTTTCCGATTTCTTTAATTCTCAATATTTCGATTTTACAATAGTTTGTGTTTTGGATTGTACAGTTTTTCGATTTCTAAGTTTCTCAATTTTTACTCTTCCGACTTTTCAATATTTCCTTTCTTCAATTTTTCAAATTCTTGATTCCTCATTTTTAGATTTTTCAAAGTTTTCATTTTGCAATTTTTCCATTTTTTTGATTCGAAAAGTTGAAATATCGAAAAATTAAGAATCGAAAAACTGAAAAAACGCAAAATTGCAAAATAGAAAAACTGGAAAATCGAAAAATTGGGAATCGAAGAACTGAAGAAACGAAAAATCGAAACATTGAAAAACTAAAAATTGAGAAACTTAAAAATCAAAAAAATCATGAAACCAAAAATTGGAAAGAAGAAAAACCAAATCGAATCGAAAAATTATAAAATTGGAAAAGTAATTACCGAGAAATTGCAAAATGGATAAGCAATAATTGAAAAATGGAAAAATTCTAAAATCGTAAAATTGCAAAAGTAAAGGATTTTAAAAATTATAATTATTTGATATATATTTAAAATGAAAACTAGAAAAACTGCAAATCAACAATTAAAGAAACGTAAAATTGGAAGATCGGGAAATCCAAAAATTTGAAATTGAAAAACGAAAAATTAAAAAATCTTAAAAGTTGAAAAATCGAAAAATTGAAAACCGAAAATTGCAAATCGAAAAATTGAAAAGTCCGCAAATTGAAAATTTTCACATTGAAAAAAAAAAGAAAATCAGAACATCTGAAAACCGAAAAATTGAAAAATCTAAAAATTGGAAAACTGAAAAATTTAAAAATGAAATCTTTATAAAGATGCATATCGTATAATTAAACAAACAAAAAAAATTGAAAAATTGCAATTTGAAAAATTGAAATAAAAAAATTATAAAATCGAAACACTGAGAAATCGAACAATTGTAAAAATTTTAAAAATAAACAACCGACACTAAAAATTGTAAATCGAAAATTTTAAGAAACTGAAAGAATCGAAAAATTAAAAGCTGAAAACACGAGAAATTAAATCGAAAAATTCCAAAATCTAAAAATTGAAAAATTAAAAACTGAAAACTCGAGGAATTGCAAATCGAGAAACTAAAGAAACAAAAAAATGCAAAAATGGGGAATCGAAAAATTCAAGCCAAAAAGCTGCGGGAGTGTTTTTTACGTCATTGGTTTTTACCTCACAAATTTTTTTTATGATTTCTCAAAGAAGCGGGATTAGGCTGCACTTCAGGGACGAGGGAAGTTCTGCCGAAATAACCTTCGATCATTTTTTTTTTCTGTCAGTAATAATTAATAAGATATCGAGAAGCGAGCGCACTCACGATGTATTTTTTTTCTTCCTGGAGATTATCTCCCTTGAGAAACCCTCGAACTCCGAACCTAGAGTAAACATTTAAAAATGTATTCATCATATTGTTAAATTTACGATTAACTTTTTAGTTTCCTTTCTGACATAACGAAGATAACGAATTCAAATCAAGGTAAAAGTACATATATAAACACAGTGAACCCACACAAACTATTTCCACAAACTAAACTACACACTACATACCACTTTATTTGTAAAAAACAAAAACCAACCCTCTGCCCTTCTAATGCATTTTCCTCGTCCCTTCCAAACGCATCATGTCTTCTACATGCCATTAAATTCCTCGTTGTGGCTTTGCAGTTCCCCAAGCCACTAATAGGCCCTAAGCAACGAAAAGAAGGAGGGATCATAGTCCACATCATAGTGGCCATTTACACTTTCCTCGGCCTGGCCATAGTCTGCGACGAGTATTTCGTGGCGTCTTTGGACCGAATTTGCGAAGGTACGAATTTTCTCGTCTCAAGCCTGATAAACAAATCGACTCGTTCCAGAACTGAAAATGTCACCCGACGTCGCCGGAGCTACTTTCATGGCTGCCGGAAGTTCCGCTCCGGAATTGGCAACTGTGGTTATAGGCGTTTTCTTTGCCAAAGACGACATAGGTGAGTTATAACTCTTTCTTGTTTCTTTTAACGTTTTCTCGCAGGCATCTCCGGAGTAATCGGTTCGGCCGTCTTCAACATCATGTTCGTGATATCCGTATGCGCCCTGTGCACCACAACCGTCATCTACCTCAACTGGTGGCCGCTGATTCGCGATTGTTTCTTCTACGCGGTGTCGATCCTCGTCATGCTTATTACTATCCAGGATAAAGTGATTTCTTGGGTGGAGTCATTGTTTATGCTACTGATGTACATGGTCTACTGTGTCGTTCTACATTACAACAGCTACCTCGAACAGTGGGCACAGAGGCTTCCGATACCTTGCAAGAAAGTGGCACCGGATGAACAGTCGGGTTTGGTGAGTTACAAAACGTTGGAGGAGGAAGGAAAGCACCCGAATTATGGAATCAGCCCTGAGAGGCCAATGGAAGACGAAGGGTTCGAAGGTACGTTTTTGTGGTCACAGTATTTTTGTATCCACTAAAATTGCATTGCCTTGTGAAGTTAAACCGATAATAACTGTGTAAATGGACCCTAAATGATACACCAGTGGCAGATAAAATCCCGTCCTTTAAAATTTTCATCAAAATGGCTTTCTCGAACACTTTTACCTAATTGAAATAAAGCTGATAACAGGTTTTAATTCTGTCAAAGGGAACAAGGAGTTAATATCGAGCACTTTGAGATAAGGGCGACTGTTGCGGAAATTGGATAATGTCAGAATTAGAGGTCTTTTATTAAGGTGGAGCGAAGTTTTCCTGCGTGGCTCTAAGCTGTAAGTGAGAGTGGGTTCTTCTTACTTTACCAATCGGAAAGTGCTATCGGAGTTCCTCAAGGATTGATGTTAGATCCGATACTGTTTCTGCATATGATGTATGCATCCAATCTTCTGGTTTTGTTTGTTCTATACAGTTGGACGTCCTCATGATTTATGCCCTTGAATAATTAAATATACTCTATAATCATATGTTACACACTGTTGACCATTCAAGGACTTAGGCCACAAACAGATAATGAATTATCTTTCTCTGAATATGTCACTCTTATCGTTAAAAAGCCAATATTTATACTACCAAGTATCTAATCCAAAAGCCCTTTGTAAGTCCAACGGAAAAAATGTTTATTATCTCATAGTCGTCCCATTTTGGAATGCGCTAGTGCTAGTGCATAATATGATCACCCAACTTATCCAAAGACAAACAGTTTTTCGAAAAGATACGTTGTTATACTTAAAAACTGATTTTAAAATAGGGAATGAAAGTATTAACATTTGTCCCTCATGCATTTTTAAAGTGAAAACTTGGAATATAATAATAATGCTTCTGGTTAGAAATGAAACACTTACCCGTTCCAGTTTTTGGAAACTGCACCGCTAATATGGGAAGAAAATAGGTTAAACTTTCATATAGTGTTTATAAAAAATTTTAATTACTACAATGTTCAAATATCCATATTCCAAATTTTTCAAATAGAACACCCTATATCTTTTTTCTGCATCTTATTCTATTTTTTGTTCTTTCTTTTTTGCTGAATTTTATCTGTATTTAAAGTTGATAGTTACTGCGATTTCATACTTTTTTAAGAAACACATCGACATTTTAAAAGAATAAGGACAAAAAAATTAGTAAGATTCAATAATAAAATGCAGGGTAGAGGCTAGTTAGTATTAAATTTAGTTTTATCTGACAAAAAATACGACAAAATTTTAATTCAACACTAAAATAAAGTTTAGATTTGAACGGATTCAAAATCTCATTGTTCTTAATTTGGGTCATGGCACCTCGACGATTGCGCTTAGTTCAACAACAATTTTCTTTCATAGATATTTATTATACCCGGACCTTAAGAGCATTAACGACATATAAGAACATCACCAAAGAATAGTGAGCAAACTGGAGAGTGGGTCAGTTGCGCACCGTGGTAAAAAAATCTGCGGGTGATTCTAACTGCACAAAACAGTTGCATGGAAAGTACCTGAGGGGTAAGGATCAGTTGCGCGCTGCAGTCAGAAAAATTTCCATATAATTTTATGGACTAATACTAATAACATCCCGCCTTAAGTTGTCATGTGAAAAAAAATTGAAAGTCTGCGAAAATTCAAAAATTTGGCCTTGGCTGTGATCGTCTAACAAAATGGAACCCTACATTGTGCTTTTGAAAAATGGCGGGATGCGTTCAGATGCACCCCAAGGTTGTAAAAGTACCGCAAAATAAAACACCAAATATATGGAGGATACAAAATTATTTATTCTTCCACTGCCAAAAAAAAAAGCTGCGGCTAAGTTGTGCTCGTTGAAGATATCGCTTAATGCTCAGCTACAAAAAAAAACTTTCCAAACTTTGAATGAAATCTAATTAAACGTTCCGAATCAATGCAAAATTTGAATATCGCGAAGTTAAAAAAAAAACAAAGAAAAAATCTGAATTACAGCAACTGGATACAAATTCACAAGTTATTACGGACGTGTGGCGGTAATTGTAAATTATGGCAGTCAACAAAAGAACAACATTTTAATAAAAAAACTATGCAGCGGCAGCGGCACCAGTGCACTATAAGAGTGTGGCAATGAACTATCTCAATTTCATTCTAGAGCACAGCAAAATACCCATAGTTGTAGCACGAGCAGAGTTTGGGGCTCCTGGTTGTGGCTGTTCTCCTACCCACGACGGTGATTCTATCTATCGCAAGCACTGCCGCACAGCACTTCTCTATTACGGACATGGCGTACGAGCAGGCTGTTACGGTCGCAAACTCGCATTTGGGCTCGACTATTGGGCCAAGTCGACAGCGTTACGTCATCTCGACCGCCCCTGAATTCTATTCTGACCTGCATCTTTTGTGCAGATGGCGCGATGAATCCCGTCAGCTCGACTAGGAACCGCGCACTCTGCTTCTGCCACGTAGTTCGGTGTTATTTAACCTCAATTCCATTTAAATGTTCAATTTCTATGACTTTGGTATTAACGACAACGGAACAAGTGTTACAGTTTCAAAAAGAGCAATAAACAACATTTAAATTCGCCACACACTCTTGTGAAATTTGAAACAGCAAAGAATTCTTATATGAGATTAAGATTGGACAGCAGACAATTTTGTGATGGAACCATTAATCAACAAAATATTTACAAGATTTAAAAAACTAGTAAAAATTTATAAAAACAAAAAAAAAGATCTGGTGTGAAGTAAAACTTGTGCAGACAAAAAATTACGTGGGGTTAGAAACTGCGGAGCATGAAAATTTACGTTCAATTTAAATTATACAACAAAGAAAATTACTGCTAACATTGTGACATAGAGAAATATCGTATGAAGTGAAAAATTGCAAAGCTAACAAAATTACATGAGGTCAATATTTTATGTCCATTCGAGTTACTGGTTAAATTTTAAAAGTGAAGTTATTCAGTTGTATATTAGGCCATTATGCGTTCTGAAAATACTCTTTCAACATGGCCGCTGCTAGAACAAAGAATTTGTCTGATGTTAAATTATGCCACACTTTACCAACGATTCAAGCAAAGAATTTACATTATGTTAAATGATGCTTTGATCCAAGTTATTGGTTAGGTACTTAAAACAATTAGCTTTGAGAGTTTATATCGTGGACTGTCTATCCCAAACCAAACACATAATAAATAAACAACACAACATGTATCCGGTGTTGCGAAGAAAGCTCCTCCGTGATATAGCTTTCCACGTTGCGAGAAAGATATCTCGGTGATGTGATGATGATATAACGATAACAACGATGATAAGTGCCTAGGCAGAGAAATCTTTAAATCCCCTCCGTACCTCAGACCACGATATTATGAATTCTACCGCACTTTCTACGGTCTTTTCCGCAGTGGGCCAACGTTAGGTTAATTTAACTGCCGTAAATGAAGAATCTTGTGTGAAGAATTAAGAAATGTTACAATGTAACACTTAAGTATAAGCATCCAGAAACTTATTCATAATTAGATAAACAAAAACAATCGAGTCCTGACTAAGTAAATTTCATGAAATCTCCTAGTAACTGTTTATCTAAACAAATTCCTGATTGTTAAATTGCGTTAGAACTAGTTAACGATTAAACTCCTAACATGAACTGTGAATTTACAAACAATGAATCAAATTTACACGTGTTAGCGTCGGTCGAAAATTCACTTATTTCCGCTCGGAAAACACCGCAAGAATTAGCTACGCGCGTTAGGGAAACTCTGGCGTCGTCGTCGTTACGAGTAATTTTCGTTAAACAAAGGCGTTCTCCTTTTTATAAACTACCAAACCAACTAAACTTAACCTAGCTAACTCACCACGTGGTTGTCACTCACAACAACACACCAAAAGTGACCCCCTCCGAACAGAATGACTCATCTACCAAGACGTCCTCTTCTACCAACCCTCTAACTAAAATTCCAAGCAGAACTACCCACTACCCACAAAGTGCGAACGTGCACATGGTTGCCTATGTTTAACGATTTTCTTGATTGATTTTTTTTCGACAATTTGAAATAAATAAGGACTCGGAAAAATAATTGATACTTTCATCACCACCTTGGTCCCTAATTCGTAATTATTAAGTCAAATATAGAAATTCTAGAACAAAAATCGACAAAAACAACAAACTAATAATGATTTGGAACCAAATTGCAAGCAACCAAAAAATAACATCTTATTTGATAATGCTTTAAACGTCGCTCAGTTAAGACTTAATAACTTGTATTGCCTCCTCAAGCATTGATAACAGCTCGTATAGTTCAAATTTCTAATTTCTTGATCAATTTCTTGCTACTCTTGCGTCAATCTAAGTGTTAGCTCTAGGAGCGTAGTAGGAGGTAATGCTTTAATTCTTTTTCCCAGTATGTCCCATAAATGCTCGATGGAACTAAGGTCCGGACTTCGTGCAGGCCAGTTCATACGTACGATTTCCACTTATGCAAAATAACATTTTAAAATTTTGCGGGGCAGTGTATTTATTATTATTAAGTCTGAGATATCTGTCCTGACAAATACTAAAATATGTAATTCACGTGAAGATTTCTTGAGGTTCAAGACTGAGGTCGATTTCTGAAAATATTGTTGCACTCTTCAATATGACAAAAAATTTCTTCCGTTCTTGGAAAAGATACTTACATTCATGAAATTTAATCTCTAGAAACTTGGTACTATCAAGGGGATTACTCAATTTTCGTGTTTCAGTGAAGTTCTTTTATGTTACCGTTGCGAGTTCTTGTCTGTGAAGAGTCCGTTTTTATTAACTCCTGATGAATGCTATTATTACATAAAATTTAACAGTGTATAAGATCACCACCTTAACATTTCGTAAATTTTGTTTTGTTTTTTGGGAAATGCTTTAATGGTTGCTATATATACTTCACTTTTTTTGCTATTTATACACTCTGGGTTAAAGTTCGCACACTTTAGGTTATTTTTGGCATCCATCACTTATATCATTCTATTTTGACTCTTAACTATAGTCACTAAAGCTTCAAAATTTTACATTTATGACTTTTTTTCAAACTTTGGTATCATGTGTGCCATAAAACAAGCTATCAAAAACGAAGTCACTCGACTCTCCATTTCACGGTCACAGAGCGTCACTATGAGGACGATCAGCATTGTACGCACTGTATAAATACGAAGTACGTTTTAAAGGCAAAATTTTAGTGGATACAAAAATTACGTTCTGAGTATATACTGCTAGAATTCCAATCCTTTAGGGTACGACAACCAGCTCAGTGGCCCCGCTTTGAACCAAGCTAGTGGCGGGGCGGCAGCTGCCCCCCCTCCAGTTCAGCAAGATTACTATAGGCCTAAAGAGTACGATCCTGCTAACACCGTTAATCCCTTAATCAAACCAACTGGTACTACCCATCCTTTTACATTCCTCCACTAATCTCTTGTTTTTTAGACGCAGGATTGTTCAGACAACTCACGTGGGCCATTATCGTTCCTATACACTTTCTATGTAGGAAAACTATGCCCGACTGTAGATCCGAACAGTACAAAAACTGGTACCCCTTCACTTTTTTCATGTCAATGTTGTGGATCTCGTTCTATTCGTACTTCATGGTGTGGATGATTACTATCATTGGATACACATGTGGTATCCCTGACACAGTCATGGGTCTCACTTTCGTAGCTGCCGGAGTATCAGTACCAGACGCACTGTCCAGTATAGCAGTAATTAAAGAAGGGTAATCCTCAACGATTTTACAGCCAATAATCAACGATTTCTTTTAGTTACGGCGACATGGCTGTATCGAACGCGGTAGGTTCTAACGTTTTCGATATTTTAATATGTTTAGGACTTCCATGGTTCATCAAAACGGCTATCATTAAACCAGGATCTGAGGTTAAAGTCATAAGTAAAGGTAAACACTGAGCGTAGATCTTTGACAAACGATGTACACTTTGTCTTTTCAGGTTTGACGTATTCAACTTTATCTCTTTTTTCCACGGTGGTGTTCCTAGTAGCTGCTACGCACTTCAACGGCTGGAAGTTGGACAAAAAGTACGGTGTTATCCTAATGGCTTGGTACTTAACCTTTATAACGGTCGCCAGCATGTACGAGCTGAACGTTTTCGGATACCTCAACCCACCGGAATGTCCCAGTGACTACTAAACAAGTTCATTCTTATGTTTATATAATGCTCAAGAATACCATAAACAAGTGTTAAACGTTTGCAAATGTTACCCAAAATGTGACTTAGATGTTAGTTGTTTTAGCATTGTTAGTAGCCGTCCTAAAATTGAAATTTAAACGTTATTTCGTTATGTAAAGTTATACAGATATGTCTGGAAACCATTATTATGGCTAGTCAATATTTCGTAGGTGTTCTAATTGAGCTTTTTCTTATATACAGCGTTGGTGAGAAAAGGCTTCCATAGCTGTTCAATTATTGTAAGTCAATAGTACCTAAATGAGTGTGCTGGTTGTTGAAATTCCATTCAGTTTGGACAGACTGTAATATACTTATGAACCAATAGAATAGAAGGCGCCGCATCACCTACAAGAAATGCAATAGTGGTACTTACATCGAATCGGCCTATACACGGTGGATTTTTGTATTCTTGATCCGCTCTGTATAGAATGTTTTGTTCCTAATTTTTTAAGACTGATTTAAGTACGTTGACTAATTTAACTATCCTCATGGCATTCCTATTTTTATATTTTCATTATTTATGACGATGTTCTCATTCATTATACGATAATTTCAACTGTGATTGTTTCTGATTGGATGGTGAGGCTATTGTAAATTATTCCTTAAGTAAATTTTAAATTTTGTGAGTAGCCTTTCCAAAATGTACCCAAAGAGGTTGCAGTTTTCATCTTAAACAAATACAAGTCGATGAAAACAATAATTTAGTGAAACTTACGACAATAATACCGCCTTATGGTCAATAGAGTAGGCTAATAATTATAGAAATATATGACAAAGTCGCCAGACTTGAACCACGAACTATTGGCAACAAAATTTAAACAAGTAAATTAAAAGACTGGTCATTATATTTTTTGTCATCTACAATAAATAATTGCCAATAATTCTTGGGATTTTACATTTAAACGAATTAGAATACTTGAATAAAAAATAGTGTTATATAAGCACCCAGTATTAGTTTGAGGAATTCGTAAAATTCTGAAAACCAAAATTATTGCTTCCTAAAAAAATATGAAGTATACTTAGACAAATTTCGAAATATCTACTATGCTTATTGACTGTAGTTAATGTTTGATAATATTTATTAAAAAAACTCTTGTTTCATAAAGATAGAGGTTTATCGTTGGACGAATGAATCACAAAAATTACAAAAAAAAAATGGCTTATTATATGGACGTTGATTGTGAGATGTTTACTTCATTTACCAAAAACAACTCGACTTAGCACCTTCTAGTCAAATATAAATGCACTAAATGTTGAAATGTAAATAAAAACCTAAAAAGGAGAGACGGCTTCTTGTAATTTTTTTCGTGCGCAGTCGAACCCTTTTGGAGATTCTGACGTTTCTTTAAACATATGTAATGCATAAGGACTTCATTATATTATTATAATCTTCTTCACGCATTTTTACAAATAATATTATCTGTATTTCTGGAGCGAACAACGATGAACATTATTTGAGTAACATCAACCAACTAAATTAAAAACAATGAAATTGTATACACCTTTTCTTAAATTTTTATTTATAAAGACTGTAACCAACATACTTTTCAAAACACTTTCTACACAGACTTACTATAAGAGTATGACCTAGTCTAAATTTGCCTATATAGTAATATATTCTTTAGCTGATAGAAATCTGTTTCTAAAGACATATCCGTGAACAAATATTGGTCGTAAAATTTTTCGAATTTACATCCATTAAGTAAAAACATTCACGTCGAACGAATAAAATTTTTTGTACTTGTGAAAACCACAAAGAAAACAGGAGTATTAATAAACAAAAGATCAAAAAAAAAAAGAAGAAAACAAGCTTCTTACATTATCGAGCACCAACGTCTCTCTCCATCTTTAACTTCGTGCATTTGCGAATTGATACCGTCTTCCTCCAACAAACACTTCTCATCTTTGTACCCCGTCAATTTGGGGGTACTCGACGGTATATCGCCCCGAAACGTGTTCCGAATGCTCGCCAGCGGGCTCGTAAACCTCGTGAAAAATCCAGGTGAATCACTTTTAAACCGCTTGATGAACTCCTCCTCTCCCTCACTGTTCTTTCGTTTAATCCCCACCGCCGACACCCTCTCCACGGAATTCCGACTTGGATACGCCCCCACAAAATCGCCCTTCTCCAAGTTCGTCATCAGCAGTCTTTTTCGGTAATCGTCACTGATCGGCCTGATCGTCCTTCTCGTCGACAAGCGCCTCAACGTCTCACCGAACGACTTATTTTTCGCCTCCTGTAGAAAACTGTTCGTCTCGAAATTCGACTCCGTGTAGCTCAGCCGCGTCGAGTCCCCGCCCACCTGCACCTTCGTCGAAACGTTCTCCGAGCACGACTCGAACGTCACGTTTAGCTCCTCCCGTGGCTCCTCCCCGTCGCGCGAGTCTTCGGGCGTGTCCTCGTCCATTTTGGGCGTGTCCTCGTCTATTTTGGGCAGGTCTTCTTCGCCTTTTGGCGTTTTCGGCGTGGGAATGTTCCTCGTCAAAGAGCGCCGCGTTTTGCAACGACTCAAGACTGGCGATTCTCTCCCGGATTCCAAGTCGGAGTTTTCTTCGAATACCAGTTCTGGGTCAGGCTCGTCCGTGACGACTAGCGGGTCCATTTTTTCTTCGAGGGAGATGTCCATGTCTTCGGTTTCGGTGCCGTTGGTGATTTTTTCTTCTGGTGGTTCGGGGCTTTTTTGTGTCTCGTTTTCGGTTACTTCTTTCTGGAGTTCAGGTGGAGTTTCTTCGGGTGGTGGGGTGGGTCCTTGGGCTTTGGCTTCTTCGAGGCTTGGTGGAGATTCTTCGGTTCCGTTTGGTTTGGGGGTGGGGGCTTTGGCTGTTGAGTCCTCATCGTTGGTTTGTCGACGGGCTCGACGAGTGGATTTTTGGCTCATTTTTGTCTAGAAGTTGGAGACATTTTTTAACGTGTGTAGAGGTAAGGGAAGTGCAGGTTTGTGATTTCTAAATAATGGAAGGTGCACAAACACTACAAACACGCTACAGAGTCACTGGGAAAATGAAGGCGGATTAGTCAAGGGATAATTGAGAAAAAGCAAAAACTACAGGTACACTACGTATATACATAATTTATGGAAATACAAATTCTTTAATATTATAGTACTGCGCTGTAACTTTAATAATCAAAGGCTTATCAACTGAAGTTAAATTATCCCACCGCAAATTATGGTTGATAATAATGATAAGCGAGAAATTCTTTAAGTAAGTGAGGTGAACTGAATTTACACTATTTTTAAAAACAGCCCAATCTTTGTCGGATTCTCATCATAGACAGGGTGAAATTTATATTATGCTAGTTCCAAAAGTGACACTGACTCATCCCCGACATTTTTTCTGCGAGCGACAAAGAATAGGTGAAAACATTGTGTGACATCCCTGAAAATTTACACTGTCTTGTCTTTAAACATTCATCGGGTCTGCTATATGCATAGCCAGTAATCAGAAATTTTAATATTTCATTTCGCGTCGAAGACACAGCAAAACGCGGGTCAAGAAAACTATTCGTGGTCAATAATTAACCCATAAATCCAGACTTTTATGAAAAATAATATAATATACTTTTGTGCCTATGAAATCCAAAATTTTCTTTTGAATTGAAACATTCAAATGATATTATTTTATAGAAAGAAATTGTTGTCATTTATTTCCCAAAAAAAAAATTAATTAATTAAAAGCTCCAGTTTTTAAAAATATGGATCATGAAACCACAAATAGAGGAGCATGTCACACTATAAATCAAAAGAAATTTACTTAACAAAATTTTGAAATGACATCAAGGGAACAGATGAATAACAACATTAAAGAGTGTGCAAAATTTCTGAACAATCACTTTCGAGCTTTCGAAATTAAATTTCAAAAGTTGTACAGTTTTATTTATTTATTTTTTCAAAAACTTGCATGCATAAGGTTAAAAATATAAATCAATTAATAATAATCATCGATGCAGAACCATATTATTTTGCACATGTTAAAGAGGATTTACTCATTAAAATTTTCAGATAACGTTATAAAATTTTTGGTTTGTGTTTCATCCATGCGATATTTTTAAAATACATTTAAAATTTATTAAATTCATACAAATCAGTTGAACAGTTTCGGAAATTATAAAAGAAAGACCTACTTTTTCATAATCTAGGAGCTACGTAAGATGGAAGAAACATTAAATTAGCCATTCACCAAATGAAGTAACAATTGATGATATTATCACAAAATTTTAAGTATTATTTATTCCAAAACGGCGAATTTAATTTTTATGAAATTATGGCAACACACGAACGTTACCGTAACCTCATTTGACATACACTTATTAAAACTTTTATGACTTAAGCGGCTTAAGCCAAAGCACCCTTATAATTCAAACTGGCTATTGTAAGTTGTGTGGATGTGGACCCGAACCGGAAGATTATTACTGTCCATTGTTGGCATAATGTAGCTGTGAACTGAGTTAAGTAATAAAAATAGCCAGTTTGACTTATAAGGGTGGTTTGGCTTAAGCCGCTTAAATCATAAAAGTTTTAACAGGTGTATGTCAAATAAGGTTACTTTACTCTTGTATAGTTTCCCCATTGTGTAAAAGTTAACTTCAGTAGTAATCTATTGTTAAGGAAAATAACTTTTACATATCATAAAACCGAATTAGAACTCCAATAAAAAGTCTCTGGATACGAACAAACATTATTTTGTTACAATCTTTGAAGATGCCTTTTATAACTACCTTGTGTCTTACCCTGATGTTAAACATACAGGATGTCTCATCTCATATAATCTATTAGTTTACTTCGAAACTACTGTATATGTAAAAAACAAATGTCATGGAATATCTACAAAAAAACATTCAGGAAGATATTCCACGATTTTTAAAAATATAATTTTCTAAGTACAACAGAACTGCTGCCATTATATTAATATTATACTCATTAAACACTTTTAAACAAAATATGCAGAAAAATGATGAGAAAAATTTACATTTTTTTTGATAAACAAATAGATTACACGAACTGAACTGTAATGAGCACAACTTACGTGATTTGTTGAAAACTGTATTTGAATTATTTAGATATTTATACAAAACGATTCCGTTTATTAGCAATAATTATTATTAAATACTATACTACTATAAACTATACATAAAGTAGCAGACAAAACTTGGCGCCAAAATGGATTCGATGACAAATATAATGTGAATTTGAATTTCATTTGACTTTTAGAAGTGACTCTATGGTATTGACTTAAATTTTTGCCACCTTTGATTGTGACTAAACCCACGTCTATACAGTTTATAATATACGAATCTCCTGAAAATTTTGAAGCAAATGACATTTCTGTGTCGTAGAATTTTGTCTGCGACTTTACAAAACTCAAAAAAAACAGCCTCATCAATGAATTAACTCGAAGGCTATTTCCAATCACTTATACTAAGTATGTAATTATAAGCTTGTCAACTGTCACTACAGTGAGGCATAAAAGCAAAAAATAATACTTAACAAATGATTTAACCACTTGTACTTGACAAATTCCTGCAAACACCACGCTTTCTACGCATAAACATTAAGTGGACCAATCAAAACATTCTGAGCATGCGCACTACTCCGTAATGATCACCTCTGAATGGTAGGTATCACAGTAATAAACACGTTCGATTTTTAACGCGATTTTAATTTAATTTTCAAAAAAATTTAATAAAAATTTGACAAGAAACTAGTAGAGATTTGGCCGTAATATTCAGCTACTTTGGATGAAAGTTTCAAAACGTTATATTAACAAGGGGAAACGTGACTTATTTGTTCTGAAGAAAATTACAATTTTGTGTTGTGAAAGCATTAATTAAACTATTTTATTGACCACAATTGCTTAAGTCCTAATTCTTTAAACCTCCCGAAGAAACCACAAAATCTGATGTATATAATTTTTGATCTAAAACCTACAGTGTTTCTAAAATTTAGTTTCTTTGCAGAACTACTATTTATTGAACTGAACTATAAGTTCAGTGTAAACACCGTAAATTTATTCGCATTTTTTAGAACAATGATATTTGTTAACGAGCACAATAACACCCGAAACAAAAACTTTTTTATTGACGACGTTCACATGTTTTGAAGACCTAGTTTTCATTAACACATAAATGATAAGATTTTCCACCTATGATAATCCATTTTTAATGCAGACGCGTGTTTACTTTTCGTATGTAAACATTCTTGGCTGTAGCATCCTCTACGCCACTGGCATCCGCTATTTGCCTCCAACTTTTCCAAGATTAATGCCCGTTTGCACCAGTTCTGGTTAAATGTGGCCGTTTGCTAACCACCGTTAAAGTTAACCATAGGGCTAAACAAGACTTGCTTTGCACCGCGCGTTACAAGACCCAATGTTAACTAACCAAAGGTTAATACACGCGTTGTTTGGCAACGTCGCAAATTTGAGGGTATTTGATGATAGCCGTTGGTAGCATTGGTGTGCGCACATGGTTTTGTGTACCAAACAGAGACTTTAATTAAAGTCGCTGGTACCAAAGAGGTTAGAGACAGCTGAATCTGCTGTTTACTCTTCGTTCAGTGAGTACATTTTAGCGCATCAAACGAAAGCGACTCTTGATTACTTATTACCTTGTTACTAGTGATGTAAGTATTGTTGCTTTAATTGCAGTCAGTTTTTTAAGTTATGGAAGGCAGAGGAAAAAAAAGGATGCGTGCACCAAACTTTTCCATTGACGAAAAGTTGCGAATTTTATACGTTATAGAAAAGTATAAGGATGTGGTTGAGAACAAAAAAACCGACGCTCTAACGTGGCAAGAAAAAAATGCAGCGTGGACTAAAATTACTGCTGAGGTAAACTCAAATGGTAGTGTACCTCGCACAGTGGAAAATATTAAAGGTTTCTTTGAAAACCAAAAAAGAAGTACTAATAAAAAAGCTGCAGTTGAAAAAAGGCAGTTGAGACGAACCGGGGGAGGCAGCACAACTGCTATTGTAGATGATCCCACATTTGGGATCACTATGGAAATTTTAAATAAAAAAAATATTTATGGATTACAAAACCTTTATGATGGAGATGGCGACGATTTAGATCCTGGCAATTCAAAAGTAAGAATAAAGTTATTTATGTGGTGGTGTACAATAAATATATAAAAATATACATATTGTAGGTTGATGAACAAACATTCCAAGGCGCAGCAAGTACTTGCGAAGAATACGAAGATACTTTACAGGGGCCCTCTATTAATTCAAAGGTAACGTTATAAAGCAAATATTGCAAAAATGTAAATGTTTACATTTTATACTTTTAGGTTGAAAACTCGACAGATTGGGGCAATTCATGCCCAGCCCAGTTGCAGGCTCCAATGAATCCCAAACTGGCGGCACTCATTGACAGGCAAACACAAAAACAAATTGAAGTCCCTGCAACTCCGTCAACGTCAACTTCATTTACTAATAAAAAAGTAAGTTGTAGTTTTTCTTTTATTAAAATTTAACAATTATGCACATTACAGCAAGAAAATACATCACACTCAAGGAGAAGACCATCTTTGCACTCTTCAACAAATGTGGCCAGAAAATATGAAGAAGTGGCAGAAAAGAAAAAAACATTATATGATATTCAAATTTCCATTTTTCGAAAATTTCAAGAGCAGCAGGAGGAAATGGCTCGTAACTATCAGCATGATTTAGAAGAGAGAAGAAAACATGACGAAAAGATTCGTTCTCTACAAATTCAAAAAGAAGTGTTGGACATTGAAATAAAAAAGGCCCAATTAATAGCTCTACGGAAAGGGATAGAAAATGAATAACATTATTAGTGTTATTAATATTGTATTTTATAAGTATTAATGCTAACAAAATGCTAACTATAAATTAATTCATAAATTTCCAAAATAATTTTGAATCAGAAAATCCCTCGTTCCATCCACATGCCTTCGGTTCCTAATATCCCCAGGTGCAACTATTTGCCCATCCTGGATTAGCCTTTCTAGCTGCTCTTCATTAACCAATTCAGGAAGAGGTGGAGGCACATTATCATTGTGGCGGAGTGCCAAATTATGTAAGACACTTGCAGCTACAATGATAATTAAACATGTGTCAACTTTTAGCCTACACCCATAAGCTAGTATAGGGAATCTTCTCTTTAAAACGCCAAAACATCTTTCGATAACATTCCTAGTCCTAATGTGGCTTTCATTATATAACTGCTCTGGAGGTGTTCTCGGATTTAATAGGGGTGTCACTAAATACTTCCCATTTGCATAGCCACTGTCACCTAAAAATGTTATAAATAAATTTGAAGGTAAAAAAGTAATAGGTCTTATATTTTACCAAGAAGTAGACAATTAGGATATACATTGTCCTCAAAATCATCTTTAATACGGCTATGGTTAAAAATATTAGAATCATGGGCAGACCCTGGCCATCGAGCAACAACATTCATTATTTTCAAATTGGCATCACAAATCACTTGAGTGTTGATAGAAAAGTACTGTTTTCTATTGCGATATATTTCTCCATCAACTCCACCTAAAATTTACAAATAACTGAAAATTTCAATAAAATATATGAAAAACATTACCGGGAGATTGAATTTTTACGTGGGTACAATCAATGGCCCCTACAACTTTTGGAAATCCGCTAATAGAAAAAAAGTTCCGTTGATTTTCACTCATTTCGTCATTTGTACTAGGAAATTTTATATGTTGTCGATACAATCTTGCAATTGCTTCGGAAACTCTTTTCACAATTCGTGACACTGTCGACAAATGCATCCCCATAAAATCAGCTATGTTCTGAAGGTGTCCTCCTGTCGAAAACACTCGCAAACACGTCAAAATCTGATTCATGGGCGAAACAGCATTATTCCTAAAAGCAAATTCGATTGTTGTTTTGGTAACAAATATTTTTACATAGGTAATATCCTTACATATCAGATGGGAATTCCAATTCACGTTCAATCGATATTAATAGATCGAGAACACACGCTCTGGACAGTCGAAATCGACGACGAAAAGCTGCATCGTCCAGAGTATCAAAGTGGTTATGACGCGTATAAAGTTGTCGAGGCAAACCATTGAAGATGAAGTCGAGTACTTCAACATCCTCCACATCCTCCTCATCCTCATTAATTCTTATTTCAATTTCCATCATTTTTCTTTTTTTCTACACAACGATATGGCTCACACACCAAAGACGCCACTTGCCACACTTGTAAGATATATTTAATGAGAGCTGCACAGCTGATCACGCGCCGCCATCTTTACAAATAGTGTCTGTTAACTTAACCACCGCTTAACCACCACCCAATCTGCCGATTAAATTTGGTCGCCGTTAGTTCGAGTTAACTTACGGTTAGTACGCGGTGCAACGAAATTAACAAAATAACGGCCGGTTAAATTTTAACCAGAACTGGTGCAAACGGCCATAAAAAAATCACGCCGCTGGCGATAAGCAATCTAATTGCGCGAAGAACCGTTAATTATAGAAAACGCCATTATGTAACAGGAAGATAAAAATACAAAGTTTCGTGTATGACATCGAGTAACTGTGGACAAGGTTGAATGCTTCTTGCCCTTTATTTCGCTCCAATAACAACAACACAACGAGGGAGTGTCTACATACAGCACAAGCAATTATATAGGAGATAAGTATTGAGTTGGATGGAATGATGGAATGTAGAGCGGATTTCTTGGACTCCTAAGTACAAACATTCCACTCAATGAACAACCAGACAACAATTTTCATTCTGGCAACACCACGGCAATCAATTTAAATGATAAAATTACCACAATAATTGCACTTGATCCAAGTGGCCTACAAACCTTCTGTGAAAATTGTCGCCCACAAACACAAAACTGGCACCCACAAAACGGTTAATTATAGATAAAAATGTGAAAATTCTTACCTTTTTATGTGTTTTTCATTCAAAAATAACCCGGCAAACACGCAGCGTCGTTCCACAACACAAACGGTTTTTTAAATGACAAGAAAATGGCCGCGGGTTCTGCATTACCGACACAAATGTCAATGCTTTCGTCAAGGACGGAGCAAAGTGAGGTTATATTGACAGAATTAGAAGGTGGTTAGAAGAGCCCGAGGGTGTGTAGACTCAGACAGACGAAACAAAATGCCTCCGTGTTCGACAAAGTGTGGCAAAAATGCAATACTCAAAGTAAGACAGACACGCACGACCACAAAGTACTAATTATTATGTTTTAGAGACCCAAAACCGGTGACGTACTCTGTAAAGAATGTTTCTTCGAGGCATTTGAAAACGAAATTCATTTCACGATTACGAGGGCCAAGCTTTTCAAGCCGAACAGTAAAGTGGCTATTGCGGCATCGGGAGGGAAAGACTCTACAGTTCTGGCTTATGTCCTCAAGCTCTTAAACCAAAAGTACGACTATAAATTGGATTTAACACTTTTATCAATCGATGAGGGTATTACAGGGTACAGAGACGACAGTTTAGAAACGGTAAAGCAAAATCGTGATGACTATGAAATGCCTCTTAAAATTATGTCATATAAAGACTTGTATGGATGGACTATGGATGAAATTGTTGCAGAGGTAGGTATAAAGCACATACAGACATTACTTAAAAGTTTGATAGATAGGGCGAAAAAACAACTGTACTTTCTGCGGAGTTTTTCGACGTCAAGCTCTAGATCGAGGGGCTGTGCTTTTAAAAGTTGACTATCTAGCAACTGGTCACAATGCTGATGACATTGCAGAAACTGTCCTCATGAATATATTAAGAGGTGATTTGGCACGTTTGAGTCGTTGTAGTGCTATTATAACTGTATGTATAACCCACTTGTCTGTGTTTTGGTTTAAATGTAGAAATTCCAGGACAGCGGTGATGGTATCCCAAGAGTTAAGCCTTTAAAATATACCTATGAAAAGGAAATCGTTATGTATGCATACTTTCGAAAGTTGGTCTACTTCTCCACCGAATGTGTCTTTGCTCCTAATGCATACAGAGGGCATGCCCGTGTCCTTCTAAAAGACTTGGAAAAAATTGATCCCTCTGTCATTATGAATATTATACAATCAGGCGAATCTCTGAAAATTAACGAAAGCGCAAATATGCCCACTTTAAGGAAGTGTACTAGATGTGGGTATGTCTCTTCACAGGAGGTGTGCAAAGCGTGTGTTTTGTTGGAAGGTTTGAACAAAGGATTGCCCAAGCTAGGGATTGGCAAGTCAAGTAAAGTTAAAAAATTTATACAAGAGAAAAATTGTAAAACAGATTGTTTATGTAACAATAAATAACTAGGCGACGTAAGCCACTGATTTCTTTTCTATGGGGGCTCTACAGACTGGACAATTGCTTGAAATGTCAATAGAGCAGTCTTCACATAGGCAGACATGTCCGCAAGGTAATAAAATTATCTGAAAAGGAAGTGAAGACACGAATTTCTCAAACTTACAAACTTACCTCAATTGGATTACTTTTACAAACTACACAAATTTGATTATCTGGAAGATTCTGATCGCGCATTTGTCTCCTTCGTCTTCGCCTGGATTCGTCCAATTGTTGTTTCCGTCTATGTTCTTCTAATATCCTATCTTTATATTGCCAGTATTTCCTAATAATAAACCCTCCCAAAACTATTCCTATCGTACCAAATAGTATACATAAAAATTTATAATTTCTCTTGGAGTTATTCAGTTTCTTAATTAACGACGTCACTTGCATATTCGTCAAATAAAAAGGAGCCCCGTTGGACGGTGGTTGTAATTTTAAAATATTTGCATCCTGAGAGTATACCAACTCTCCTATTCCTGTAATAGTAGTTCCTTCTCTTAACATTTTTTCTGTCGATTGGACGCCCCTCTGTCTAATTCCTGCAAAAAAGCCCCAAATATGGTCCATCACGCTTGGCACTGTGGGATTAAAAACATCCGATATGACATCCATGTCTACAATAAAAAATATTACTTGTTGAACACTCAGAAACTAAGTTTTACCTAATACGTCAGCCGCCAATGGATCCGCCACCTCCACTTGTACCCCCTTACTAGTAAGCGCGAAAGGCATAACATTGTGCACTTCTTGCACAATACGCTCTGAATCGGACCAAAACCCTGTAGTGCTCCTTTGAATCACATGTTCTTTAATACGTAGCAGCTGTACCACCCCACTGACGTTGGGGTTGTTACTACTGATGATAGGTTTGCCTAAAGGTTTAACAGTGCCACGAATGGATACATAAGACAATTTCTTTTCCGGATGGGTGTCTACAATCTCCTTTAAGTCTTTATTAATGGCTAAGTATGGAGCCCCCTGGAATGCCAAGATGCTTATAGATGAAACAAAGACGGGGAATTACCTGGATCATCGCCATTGCATTTTTATTGCGGTAGTATTGTTTTACGCAGACTGCGAAGATCACGAGGTCAACACCTAGCGCTATGCCCTCCGTTAAATAATCCATGGCAACTTTGAACGTTCGGACGGAGATTTACACAGTTTGCATTACGAGGAAAGCACGAATTCAGTAGCAATCATCACCGATAAGGTTTATTTTGAATAAAATTTTGTGGTTAATTACTTACAATTTTTAGAGGTATGTTTGGTTGGCAACCTTGTGTCACAAAGTTTATTGTCGACGTTTTATTTTTGTTCATTACATTTTTGTGGAATTTTTTGTCGAAAAATGTACAAACAGTCACGTTAGATGCATTAAAAAATAATTGCGTGATTTTGAAATCTAATTTCTTTGAAAAGAAAATGAGAAAAGATGAGAATGGGGAATTTCGGTGTTGTTGGCACCGCGCACTGACATTCGCCAAACGTCAACATGGCGTGACACATACGCCGTAATGTTCATAATAAACCCTTGTTTATTTATATTTTCGCAAATATTAGTAGTTATTTAATGTCCCATTGTTCAAACACTTGTAAAGATGTCCCGTGCAAAGTCTCGCCAAAATGTGGAAATCTGTGGCGACTGCGGTGCCCCTGGTGAGTCACAAGCTCCACTTAAGCCTCATTAAAGACAATTTAATTACAGATGCGACATGGGCTTCAATAAATAAAGGGATATTATTATGTACGCAATGTTGTAGCATCCATAGGAGTCTAGGGAGACACATATCCCAAGTCAAATCTTTACAGAAAAGCAGTTGGCACCCCAATCAATTAGCTGTATGTTGTTAGCCCCTTAGTCTTACATTTTAGTTTAACGTACGTTGTAGATGGTGTGCACGTTAAACAACAACGGTGCCAACAACATCTGGGAACACTGTTTATTAGAAAATAATTCAAAATTAATGAAAAAGAAACCAAATCCCAAAGACCCAATCTCTCTTAAGAGCGATTTTATCAAAGCTAAGCACTTGCAGTGCATTTACACGTTTCGTGACAATGCCAACTATGATGAAGGTTTAGAAAATGAACTAGGCAAACAGTTACATGCCAGCGTTAGAACACCAAATTTAGAGATGTCTTTTCGACTTTTAGTGCAAGGGGCAGATCCTAATTATTTCCATGATGTATGTAAACCTTGTTTTTAAAATTTTTCCTTGAGTTTTATTTTCAGGAAAGAGGCACTACTCCCTTACATATTGCAGCTAAATCTGAACAAAAATTGCAAGTTGAATTGTTGTTAGTTTATGGTGCTGATCCTACATTCCCAGATGCTCATGGGAAAACGCCTATCGATTATGCAAAGTAAATAGATGATGTCATTTTTTTATAGTTTTGTTTATTAATCTTTATCTACGTTTTAGGAAAAATGTAAACAAAGATGTTCTGAACAGACTTATTGAGAGTCAATATGAGGTAACAGATGCTTTTATACAATATTTGACACATCGAAAACCAGATCATCAGAACGGGATACACTTTATCCTGCCTCAGGGGGGCTTTGAGTCCAATCCCAGTTCCTTAAGTAAGTTGCAGAAAATGAAAAACGCGCTCTTCGAACAATTGGTCATGGATGTATTTGACGAAATTGACAGGCGTGAGACAGAAGCAAGTAAGTAAAAATGTCAGGACATTTCTAGGGGATTTTAGTTTTATCAAATTTTAAATTAACCATTTCCAAAATATTGCCATATGTAATTTTTAACAAACAAATTGAAATTTTCAGCAGTGCCTTTAAAAAGAATGCTGATAAACTAATTATAATTTTACCAAACCAAACAATTTTTTATAAAAAAAAAATCTTTAATTAATTCCAATAAGCGACAAAGTGTTTGCTTCCATAGTAAGGATTTGAAAACAAGTGTGCGGCACAATTCTAATCACTTGACGTAGTAACAGTTTTTTACAGTATTGCCAGATCTATTAAGGATCATGTAGTTGTAATGAGTGAAACAAATATGACCTCAATGGTAATGGTTTATTTACGAATTTATAAATTAGTGTAATACTAGAACATCATTCAGTTTTGAAACTAATATTCTAATATGTTGTCATTATCATGCTAAAAGGAATAGGTCTAGTAAGTATTTTATCCTTATAATTAAAAAAAAAACCTGTTTTATAACATCTCAATTCTTCTAGTTTGGCTCAGTTGTGTGGACGCCATCGATCTCAACGTAGTTCCTTTCCTCCCAGTAGATTCCACCATGTCAAAACCTCGTAACCAAGGTCGTCAAAAACTAGCCCGTTTCTCAACCCCAGAACTAAAAAGTCTAGTTTTCGACATACTAATAGACACCCAGAGACGCCAGATGCTTGCAGAAAAAGGTAACAATCCACCAACTTGGCAACACTGTCTAATACCAATCTTAGGTCCGAACAAAACCCACTTGCGCGAATATTCACCAGTGTCAGACGACGATCCCTTATATGATGCTGTTGCACCAGACGAAGATTACGCAACGTTGCCAACCATACAAGAAACCGAAAAACCGCCAGAAACCCCAAACAGTAATGTCGAAGAGCTGACGAAACGACTACAGCAATCCGATAGCACCATTTCGGACCTAAAAGCCGAGGTACACCAGCTAAAGGCACACCTCGAGAGTTTGAAAACTGAAAATACGGAACTAAAAAGTCGACTCTCGCAGGTCAAAGTTACGGAAAACAGTATTAACGGGGACGATTTTTCGTCGTTGCAGATCATATCGGTGAGTTGTGTTTGACGTAGATGACCTTGAGTGAGTAGAAATGTTGTAGAATGGTGATACGGAGTTGAGGCAGAACAGGAAGAATCAGCGACCGTCGAGTATGTACGAAACGCGCGAAGGCTTGAAAACGCCCAATTGGCAGCTTTTAAAGAGTCAGATTAAACAAAACGACCAATCGCGGAATGCCACGCAGAGTCTGTATGGAAGCGCTCAAGATAAGCAAACCGTGTTCGAGTGTACGGAGTTGATAACGAGAAGCATTCAACAGTTGTGTAAAAGTTTGCAAGACAAAGATGACTGTGTCGCTAGTGGCGAGAAAGTGAAGTTTGCTGTTGCCAGGTTAGCCACCATCTTGCCGAAAGTGAGTGTTTGATTATAGAGGGCGCTCATTATTTTTATGTATTTATTTTTTTTATAGGAAGGTGAAGGGAAGAACATCAAGTTTATGTGTGATCTTTTACCCTTTCTTTTGACAGAGTGTTCCTCTTTGCAAAACGCCAATAAACAAGGCGATGTTGTTGCGGCTGACCATCATATTAATAAAATAAGAGAGGTGGCGTTCTATTTAGCTAAACACACGAAAGAGATAGTTACGAGGTATTCGTCGACGCAGTGATTCCATTTGTTATTCCCAAGTTAACAATTCCTATTTATTTAGTTCTTAACTGTACCTCATTTGTAACAGATGTCAAAGAGGGCGCCAAAGTAGTTGTTGGCGTTAGATTTGATTTATTTTTCTAAAAGTGATTAATCCAATTTTACTTGGAATGTGCAATTAAATTGTTTTAACGGTTTTTATTGACGAAGTGTGGTTAGGTAGCCGTCGGATGGACATATTATATACGTACATTTGACGGAGTTTAACCAATATATTACTCCTCTGATTGTTTTAAGTTTTAATTTAAAATTTTATTGTTTCATAGTTGATTGTTAGACTGATTTATCTCTCCTGTTTAATCCTAATTGACATTTCACTCTCACATCACTGTCCGGGCGATTATATTCCAAGTGATTGTCAATTACTTGTTTTATTTTGTATAAAATGACTGAAATATTATATTATAAAGACAGTAATGTATGTATACTAATGAGCTTTTATATAATCCAATAAATAATTCCCCTATTCAAACTTTAGCATTTCCACACCACTATGGCTAAATTCCCTCCAGAAAACATATAGAGAAGATTCGTACACTCAAACGAGATCTCAAAACCGAAACCCTCACCCACTACAACGTGAAAAGGGGGCCCGAATTTTTTATCCATTTCATCCTTGATCATTTTTGCCGCCGCCTCATTATTGGTCGAGTATTTCTCACAAGCGGTCACCACTAATTCCATCGCTTCTTGTTTCATTTCCTCGGGCATATCTGAGTGCTATTAATAAAATTAGACACCCCTCTAGCAAAATCGATAAGATGACTCACCCTTATCAGGGGGTAAGTGTGTATGATTTTTTTAGTTTCTTCTTGTTTCTCACGGCCTTCGCCATCACCCATTGTACCATTAATTGATAAAACTTAAAAGTATGCGAGTAAAGAGTTTAAAACTTTTTTAGTTAAAGAGAAGTGCGGATAGTTTACAGCAAAATTGTAAATTGGCGCCTGACGGAAAAGTGACAGAACCAAAGGGTAGGCAACCGAACGAAGCAAAATCACCAAAAACAGGTGTAACGTCATGTTTACAAAATAACACAAATTAGTTTTTAACATTTTAATTAAGTGTTGATGTTTTGACGATGTCTGGATTTAGTGGAGTTCTTCAGTTAACCGATTTAGACGACTTTATTACCCCGTCACAAGTAAGTGTTGAAATTGAACATAACCTCAACTCCTTTGACTCTTGTGTAGGAATGTATCAAACCTGTCCAAATCGCAAAAAGCAAAAGTGGCACGGGTGCCAAAATTACAATACAGGATGATGGATCATACCTCCAGACTGACAGGGTGCAATTATCTTTTACGTCTGATAAGTGATAATCCATATTCATTCATAAGCTTTGTAGGATGGCAGCACTCAAAAGCTTCAAAAAGTGGAAATTTCCCTTTCCGATTGTCTCGCCTGTTCCGGCTGTATAACCTCCGCTGAAAGCGTCTTAGTAACGCAACAGAGCCAAGAAGAAATTTTACGAGTTTTTGAAGAAAACAAACAGTTAAAAACCTCGGGGGCTGATGCTAAATTGATTGTAGTTTCCCTCTCCATACAACCAATTCTGTCAATAGCCAATCATTATGATCTCCCCGTCAATGAATGCGCCGCTAAACTTATAACGTACTTTAAGAATTTGGGGGCAGATATGGTTGTAGATATGACAATAGCTGAAGATTTTGCACTTTTGGAAAGTCAAAGAGAATTTGTTCGTAGGTTTAGATCAACTGAAATCGACGGAGTTAAAAATGTTTTGCCTATGTTGGCCTCAAGTTGTCCTGGGTGGGTTTGTTATGCTGAAAAAACCCACGGTAGTTATATTCTTCCATATATTTCTGTCACAAAATCGCCCCAACAGATTATGGGGTCCCTTATTAAACAATGGGTGGGGGGAAACTTAGGAGGACGGTCCATTTATCATGTCACACTTATGCCTTGTTATGATAAGAAACTAGAAGCTGCCAGGGAGGATTTTTTTAGTCAAGAAACGCAAAGTAGAGATGTGGATTGTGTAATAACTGCAAGTAAAACAGTTTTTGCTTTGTTAAATCGTGAATTGATTTTCTTTCTCTAGTTGAATTGCAACAAATGCTTGCTAAAGAAGATTGTAATTTGGAAAGTTTAGAAAAGTCGAATTTCTCGCAACCGTGGTTACTGAAAGAAAACACAGATGTTTCTCCTTGTCTTTCAAAGCACGTGGGATCAGGCTCTGGGGGTTATTGTGATCATATTTTCAAATATGCGGCTAAGGAGCTGTTTGGAGAAGAAGTAGAGAACTTGGAATATCATAATTTAAGGTAAAAATTGTTGTACTTTTTTCTTCAGCGTCAGTGTAAATATTTTGCAGAAACCCGGATTTCCGGGAAGTAATTTTGGAAAAAGAAGGAAAAATATTACTACGTTTTGCTATAGCGAATGGATTTAGAAACATTCAGAATTTAGTCCAAAAACTAAAAAGAGGAAAATCGCAGTATCACTATGTGGAAGTTATGGCGTGTCCTTCAGGTATTTTTTTCTTATTCATATCCACTTGCCATGACCAATAGAATGCTTCACTTAGTGATGGGGCGGGGCTTACACATAATTGACTTCGATTGCGCCAATGAAATCTTTCACTAGTATTTTTATATTTAATTACACTCATTTTTTTCTATATAGGTTGTTTAAACGGTGGTGCTCAAATCCGGCCTCGTGAAGGTACAGTCCTAAAAGAACTGACCCTGGAACTGGAAAATTTGTACTCTTCTCTCCCGGTAAAAACGCCAGAGGAAGATAAAGTGGTAAAGGAGTTATATGAAGGATGGCTAGGAGGTCTGGAAAGTGATAAATGTACGGCACTCCTGCATACGCAGTACCATGCCGTGGAAAAAACAACAAACGCCCTCAATATAAAATGGTAACAAGGTCTAATTTCCTCAATAAAATAATTTAATTATGTACACACTTCTTTTTTTAATAAAATTAGCAACGTCTATTCAGGAACATAAAATGCACGCAGTAACTGTCCAAAATGCTAGCCGTGCTACCATTTCAAACGAGACTGCCAACACAACATAATTCCAAATAAATTACGAACCTGTCATGATCTCAATAAATATAGCTAGAATTTCTTTATATAAAAATACTTAAAATAAAATATCACTTTTTTTGAGTCTTGACGTTTCAACAGATCTCTCAAGGTTCGTGCAACTTCACAAAACATTCGAGCGTCTTCGGTATTTGATTTTTATACGGAATTTGAAATTTACTAATAACGGTTGCGCACAAACATTTCAAATTGACATAATTCAAAATGTGGATGTCGACGTCTGACCTTTTGCCTACATCGATGATGTAATCTGACGGACAAACGCCCCTCGCGTTGGGCTGATCGATGTGACCTCCATATTGCAATAGCAATTTAATTAACTAGAAAAAGGAGGAGCTAGAGTACGCCCCGCCTACCGTATGACTTACCCAGTCGGAGTAGTTTTCTCGTTCCGTGGCGATATGTAAAGGGGTGGAGCCTTGTTCGTTCTTCGCGTTGACATGCGCACTACATTCTAGAAGAAATTTAATCACGCTAGGCTTGGGGAATATCACCTAGAAAATGGAGATAGAGTATAGAAGAAGAAACAAAAACGAATTTATTTACAATGGTGTCTTCGTCAACAAAGTAACTAGACCTGATCGTGTTGCATTTGGAGACGCACAAGTGTAAAAGCGAGTCTTCTGAAAGCACACTCCTTGGATCTAATCGGACTAAATTCGATATTAATTGAACAATAGTTTCGATTTGTTCGCTAGTTTTTGCCGTTTCTATCATTAAGTATATGAGATGGGTAACACACTTTAAAATTTTATCGAAAAAGTCGACTTGACGCTTGTACACAGGTCGTATAGTTAAAAGTTGCCTTATTTCTGGAACAAAAAAAACACACTACTCTGACTGTTTAAACTGAAAATTATACCTAAAATGTCTTTAGTTATCAATTTAAAGGTACACACTACGTCATGGAATCTCTGTTTTGCATCATCCTCGTTCTTGGGCACGGTTTTTTCATTATAATCGACCATTTGTCTGACTAGAGCTTGGGCAGTAAAACAGGTATCTGTGTACAAAATCGAGTCTTTTTCGACCCTAATCTCTAAAGCTCTTCTCCATAAATCAATGCACCTTTGGTATCTCAACATATCGGCATAGGCAGCCCCCCTGTACATTAATCGGAAGATCGTATCTTTGTGATGGGGACCTAAAATTCTCTCCGCCATAATAAGACTCTGTGTACGTATCAAATCTAAGTCTGTAGCAATATTATCTAGCTCTTCCATTGTTTCAAACTCTTTTTGGTATCTATAACCCTCTCTGGGTTCTCGAATGGGTTGCTTAGGTAACAAACCGTGATTCTGTCTACACAATAACCCTTTCCTCCAATGGTACAACGCTACCACTGCGTCACTATGCTCTTCGAGCAACGTGGCCCCCATTAATTCATGTGCGTTGGCGAGTTTCTCGTTCGTATAACAAATATTAGCAGTAAGGTAATCGAAAATGCGAATAGCCCCTTTGAGGCAGGCCATTTGGAGCGCGTCATCACCATAGCGTGACTTAGCATCATAATTAGCGCCGTTTTTTAGCAACAGTTTTGTGGTTTCTAACCTATAATTGAAAACGTTGTTTAGAGAAAATAGACACGAAATTGTATACCTGTGTTCTTGGATTGCATAATGCAGGGCTGTTTTGTTCTGGATATCCCTGGCATTCACATCAGCGCCGTGTTTTAGCAAGAAATCGCACAAGTGTGCGCTTTGCACCGAGTTTATAAGGCATGTGCCCCCGTTGTAATTCGGCCGGTTGATATCTGCACCATGTTCTACTAAATACTTGACTATTTCAAAATGCGTCATGAAACACGCTGATCGGACGGGGGTTGAGCCTGTATCGGACACTGCATTGATGTCTGCATTGTGCCTTAACAGAATTTCGACGACTGAGAGTTTACCAGAGACGGCAGCGCACCATAAAGGGGTAACGACGTGCGTTGATCTAAAAGGTACGTTTAGAACGAGGTGGTTTGCAGGAGGGACTCACCTGTCGTCTTGGACTTCATACAAACCACGTTGCTCAATGTCGGCTCCACACACGGAGATGAGGTACTCCACGATTTCAGTCTGGCCCTTTTTACACGCGAGGAACAAAGGGGAACAACCTACTTTAACACGATTTACGATTTCGCGACGGATATTCAAAGGGTACTTCTCCAGACGGTTTCGTAATGAATTGGAAAGGCGGGACCCTGGCACCGAATATTTACATGCTTCGAGGAGATCGTGGAAGATGTTGTTTTTGTCGTTGACGGGGTCCATTTTTGACGATTTCCACATTTTTGAGGAGTTATTAATTTTTTGAATGGTTGTTTTTATTTTTGACACTTTGACAGGTGATTGACACTCACATAGATACCAACTTACCAACTCTGTGACGTCAGAGTTTTTCAAATGTATACAACCCAATTTACACCTACTCGTATTTTTTTCTGTTTCAAGGTAATAAAAATATTTATGTTTGAAATAAAACTGCAGTGTTTGCATATTCTTAATATATTTTATAAATAATGGTATATTTACAGAATGAAATTAGAGACGGCTCTTCCTAGCCACACATGGAGGCAGTGATTCAAAAAACTAGTATGTAAAGGTTGTCTTAAGATAGGTTGTAATCATAAACATACATCAATGGATTTTCAAACCAGCCCTCACCAAAGGTAATATAAGTATTTAAAGGTGCCAGAATATTAAGCAGTTTGCTAAGATAAACTGTAATGAAAATAAACAGGATTTACAGCGAGTCGTTATTAGGGGTGGGAGTCCTAAATAAAGTGCCATTGGTTAAAAGCAGAGATATGTAAAAGACTAGATACGGATATTTAATGTTCTCGTGGACATACGTTTAGGGCCAAAATGTCACTGTACGTTTATATCTCCCTCTTTTTCTCTAGCACGTATAATGGTAACCCGATATCTGAAGGTCTCGCTCTGTACGGCGCAACCAATCAGTTGGCGCAACGTTTGTCGTTGATGCCGTTCTTGTGTTTGTGCCGATCCCTGTCAGACCAGTCAGACTGTCGGTGGTTATGATTATTTATAATTGCCGCCATCAGAACGGGCCAATAACAAGACAACCACCTTTTAGAGAGTGATCGATGTAGCCTACAGTTGGCAATCCATAGTACTGGTGCTGATATAGAAAAGGATAGGCGACACAAAGTATTGCTACTCTTAGATCATAGATGTTGGCCCTAGATCGGGAAAGCTATAACCGCATCTGTCTTTTACATATCTCTGGTTAAAAGATACCTTTTATGGGATAGGCTGTACTGATGAGATCCAACAAGATCGAAACTGCAGTCTACAGCTTCCCAACGGGTTGTCTAGCCTCTAAGAAGAAGTTCAAGAATGCTTAGAACGTAATAAAAGATCTTAATTTACGATATCTGGTAGAACAACTACTGGTAGAATGAAGCAATAAAAGGTGCAGTTAAACTCAGAAAAGAAATATAGAAAATATATTTAGAAACAAAAAGCCAATAAAATTACGGAATATATATATAAAAAAAAAAGTTAAAACATTAAAAAAAGAAGAAAAGCTTGACAAAATTGGCAGAAAAAATGAACACACCTTATTACGAGTACAAGAAACTGTTCTTTTCAACTATTAGAAATGTTAGGAAGGCAAAGCCACTATACTGAAAAATTTGAAGAGATGAAGATGATATTTTATAGATCTACTGTAAGGAAAAGAAGAAAAAATGAAGAGGAACACGAAAGAACAGCAGTTATATAGGACGAAAAATGAAGAGCAACTATAATCAAAAGAAATAACCGAATAAGAAATTACAGAAGAAATTAATGAGATGAAAAGAGTAATAAATATTCCTAAAAATTTAACAGATTTATGTTACAAGTAAATAATGCATAGCTTTATTGGACGCGCCTTTTTATGGCCGAGCGAGCTTGCTCGTGAGGCTAACAAAAGGACAAGTCCAGTAAAGGCATGATTCACGTGTGACATACATAGCTTTATGTTTGACTCAACAGAAGAATTTGTTTTTTGCAACTTTTCACCTCCATTTTAAAATTGTTAATAATGATGTTTAGTAGGCACTGCCGTTGCCACAGTCATATGAATTATGCTGCAGTCCAATAAAATGGTAGATTATGGACAGTTGCAAGTGTCATAAATGACATTGTTATGATTGAGTCAAACATAAAAAAATATATACATAAATATTAATTGAAAGTATCTTTTTTATATACTAGCTTTGTTTTTCTTGGTAGCGTCGTCAAAAGTTCCAAAAACAACATTACTTTTTGTTGGACGTAAAGGCTCTAAATTCTAAAAACACCCTTTTTCGCGGCGATTTACAATTCCGATTTGTATCGAAGCTGACAAACGTACCAAAAGTCATCTACCTTGTTCTGTTCAGCCTCCCGGGTTAAAGGTTCCGTAGATCGCCTGCACAATTATGAACCACGTGTCCAATTTCGCGCCAACACTGCACGAATGACGTCACAAAAGATGGCAACTGCGTTCACCTAACGCCCACCTTCGCGATGTTACCTCTACGCAAGATTCGTAAAGTATATACTTTACGAATCTTGACCTCTACGAGGGTTTCTCGACAACAACGCCAACCCCTAGTACTAGGGTTTTTGCTTGGTACTATGGCGCCTCTAACGAAAGGTGACCAAAACACATTCGTCAGCATTCCGCGGGAATAACAAACAAAATTAAAACAAAATATCGAACAAACTTCGAACCGGAACACTTTCACTTCCCGAGCGTAGGCTAAGGAACTTGCCAGTTTCATGTTTTCTCATGTTTGACGACCCCTAGAGTAGGAAAATGTGGTCTCAACAACGCCAAATTTTCTCAACAAAATTATAACACAGTATAATAGCATTTTACCACTGACACAGGATGTACATCTCAGTGGAGCGGTGGTTTCTATTTTGGCAACGTGCGGGTCGCATCTTTGAGTCAAATCTGGCCGTATCTTTTTTTTTCTTGCGCTGTGACTAGTATGTTGTAATTTTTGTTACGGAAAAACTAACTTAAAACAGCGCTTAGCATGCTCCTTTTTCGACCCGTTTTATTCCATTGTAGCTTAATTAATGAAATTGGTCCTTTTTTCTCTTTTGAGACGACAAAAACAATCAAATTTCATTTCCACTTGTTATCCAAATACACCAAGAGTAAATTCTTCCGAAGTCTAAACATAAACACTCGAAATAAGGCATGTAATGAGACACTGAGAAAACAGATTTTCCCGTTGGCTATTTGTTTGAAACATATTACATTTTGTCCTCACTTAGTATGCGGACTGCGCCCCGTTGTAATTTATTTTGAATTGCTTATACAGGCATTGATTACAGGTGTCTCAAAAAAATTAATGAATGAGTTCCATTTATTAAATCAGGAATGACTCACTCTAATTTCCCCGAAAATTTGGGAATACAACACTGTTATTATTAGTAATACATACGCTGCACCTATCCAAAATGATATATATGTTGTCAAGATTCAATTTAAACATAAGTGACTACAAAGGACAGTCCTATGATAAGACACATAATATGTCTGGCGTCTGTAGTGGCCTCCAAGCCCGAATAAAATCTCAAAATAATTTGGCAAAATACGTACCGTGTGCAATTGTCAATTGATTCTTTGAACTCTGTTATTCAACATGCAGCTGAATGTTGTATGGAAAATATTGCTTTCTTCTTGTTGGTTGAGGAAATTTAAGTTTTCTTTTCATCTTCAAATTACTGTGGAAATTTTTCACTGGGATATTAGAAAAAGGAAAAAACGAACCTTCAACATATTTTGTTCCTAAAATAATTAATATCACTCGGTTGTCAGCCCATTGTAATTCTTTAAAAGCTCTCAATTTTAACTACCAAGACATAAAAAAGCGCTTCTTGAAAGACCAGCTAATAATGAAAAAAAAAAAAATGCCAGTTCGCTGTCAAGCGAACATTTTAATGGAAAAACTGCTATTTGGTATTTTAATTGTTTTCTCTTCCTGTGCCTTATGGTCACCAATGCTAGTGGTGCTAGGTCATTTTCGACTTTAAGACGGATGAAAAACGAAATTCTATAACTTTAAATTCAGTGGCTATCTTAAATATCAATAGTAATCTTTTAACGGAATCAAACTTTAATGACACCACTGACGAGTTCGAAAATAAAAAGTGTGAATAGAAAAGCTTTTTGCAATAATTGTCTACCTGTGTTTAGTTTATAGTTTGTTATCACAACATGATTGTGTAAAATTTGTGTTGTAAAAACATATTGCTTTATAATAATTAAAAAATTACAACTTTTCTTTGACTAAATCCGACACTGACAATTTTCATTTGATTTTTGAAAGCTGGAGACGTTTTTTGCAGGTGGAAAATAAGTCCACTTATTTCACAGCTTGGACCTCTCCAAAGCGGAAAAATATACAATTTGCCTTCTAAATTTTGCAATTTGATTTAAGGGTACTTTCTCAACCTTGAATTCACCACTTTGCAGTATGAGGCATTCCCCCATTAAAAAAAAGTTCAATTTTGTTGACACTACAAGGCCAAATTTTGAATATTTCGCGATATTTTTCCTTTTAATTCACGCATATTCAGCTGTGTTACATTAGATATAAAACGCAACGGGTATGGTATTATAATTATAAACTCAGTTGAACAGTGAGCAATTCAGAAAAAACAATAATAATTAATAACGTACGTAGTGTTAAAGTTTGTCTAGAATTATAAGAATTTTATGGACTCCCAAAGTTAATTCATTTTACAGCTCTGTTGTCAATTTTATTGTACAGCTGAATAGCGGGCCGAACTCAGGTACATAAAACATCGGCTTTCCCCTGACAGGCTCTTTACCTGTACAATAAAATTGACGTCTGGGCTGTAAAACGAATTAACGTTGGGAGTCCATAAAATTCTTATAATTCTGGACAAACTTTACTAAGGTTTATTAGTTACTTAAATGCAATCGAACCTTACTGCAAGCAAGCAGGGCCGGACCACTTGAAGTTTACATGGTGTTAAATAAAATTCACTAAGCAAACATTTTGAAGTAGGAATGTTATCACATGGGGATGATATGAGACAAATTTTAGATAGCAATTCTACGGAGGATACAGGATATTCCCCCAGTAAACACGAAACATTTATTAAACGTTTCCATATATCTCTAACTCGTATAATTTGAAACGTTTCACTGTAACGTTTTGTAAACAAATGTGCAACCTAAATAGAAACATTTAATTGCTAACGTTCTTCTTGAGACGCATGTGAAACATTCTTATTAAGATTAAGAGTGCTTGCGCCCTGTAATTTTGACATATTTGTTATTGCGCAACATCGCCCTAGCACGACTTCATTTGACAACGGTT